TGGCCCCCTGCCGTCACAGAAACCCGACACCCATCCGGTTTGAGGAGAGACGGATTCAGGGTCTTTTCGGTCTAAAAACGACTCTCTTATTAGTACTAAAATAGAGTCGGGCCGGCGCCCGTTTTTGGGGTCGTGCGGGTCGTTTTCAGACTCTAAAACAGCGTCGCTTGTTCTATGCGGGAATCAATTCAAAATTGTAAACTGAAACAGCCTTCTGATTGGCATCGTTTTGAGGTCAGTTTTAAGTTTTTCCTGGCCCCGCAGGTCATGAAGAATCTGTGATGTCCATCACACAGCAAAATATAAGTTCAAATAAGTTTGCTTTCATTATTTTTTTCTGAACAATGCTATAAATCTTTGGTAAGTGTTAAATTAAAAAAAAATAATAAAATAAAAGCAAATGTATCCAGCATACCATTTTTAAAACGTTTAATCATCTGAGATTCTTGTGGAACCAATAAAAGTAAAAACAATCCTTGAATGTGTAAAAAACAAACCTCAAAACAGGGCCCATCAGTATAGTCAGACAAATATTATTTCCTAATTTTTCTTTAAAATGAAGCTAAACTAGCATTAAACAAAGTTTTCTTGAAAAAGTATTATAAAATATTTGATAGGATGGGATGAACCTGATTTTGCAGAAGTTTAATACTATTCTCATTCTGAAAAGATATTTCAGCTTGTTCTTTCTTCAGTTTGTTTAGCTCAGTTATAGTAGTATCAAGCATGTGCTTTAGAGAACCTAATAATAGCTTTAAATGTTAAGTTTTGTAAAGTATTTTTACTTTTAAACCTCTTGCTCATCTACTAAAAAATATCTATTTATGCAACTGTCTTGTGTTATCATGTGGGATAATATGTTTTTTGGCCGTGATTAAAAATCTTGAATTGAAACCTTAACCAAACAAAAAAGTAAAAATCATGAAAACATGATTTCCCAAAGATACAAATTCTCTCAACATTGAATAAAACCCATAATATCTTGATTTTTTAAAATCGCATATTGTCATAATTGTAATATTTTCAATTGGGTGAACAAGTGTGTTTCATATTAATTTACATCTATGTTTTCCATGTAGCAAACATTTTTGACAAACAAGTGTTTTTTCTTCTCAATTTTAAAAAACTTTTTTGTAAAAAGAACAATACATTTTAAAAATTTTGACAGGCGGCCAATTTTTGCACAAAAGTAAATTTTCAGAAATAGACTAGAAAGCAGCAGAGTTTATACCTATCTGTATCCGATTGTATTCTTTCAACTCCAGGAAATCGTTTTTCATGTCCCCAATTGTTTGCTTCTGCTCCTGGCTAAACTTCAAAAATATTTCTTTTAAATTTAAGAACTGCGTTTTAACTTCTTCATTCTGCTGCTGCTCGTTCTTCAACAAACTAATATTTATTCACAATTATTTTTCGAAACAATCAATATTCACAAATTCGATTTTTATGGGACAGCAGTAAATTTCTGAATAATCTGAAATGAAGAGATTGCATGTTCTTTCATTTAACCATTTAAAGACTGGAATGGTCTGAATCTATATTTAGACTGCATCCATATTAAATGTCATAGTGAAGGTATGCAATTCTTTAGGGCCAATATAAAAAATTATAGCACTAATTTTAATTTCTTGGCCGGGTGCTAGAGAGGATAAAAAAATTTGAAAAAGTAAGGTCTTAAAAATGTTAACCCTACAATGAAAAATCTCGCAAATTCAGCGATATTTCTTTGACCAACGCTTGTACATACATTCTGCAAGGATTTTACACTAACAACATGGTAAAAAGCTTTAAAAAGGTGGTGCTTCATCGAACAGGGGTATTTTCTTCCACTACTTACTTTCCTAGACTGTATATGTTTTAAATCGGCAGGTTTTGGACAGATATATTAAGAAGCAAAGAACCTTAACATTTTTAAAATTCACAAACAAGAAAATGGGTGTAAAATTCAACAAACATTAAACAAAAAAGACTTTCCTTAGTAATCTATAATAAAAGACCTCTGAAATTTACAGTCCTCATTACTACATAGCTGTAAACCATATTCTACATAGACAGGATTTCGTTGTACAAATAATAAAAATAACAAAATAAGTACATGCCAAAGAGGCAACAGGGTGTTATGAAAATACTAGTTATCTGTTTGGGTTAAGCTTGTGTAATCTGCGACAGCGCTTCTTTCAATCATACTTATGATCAAAATTCTATCTGGCATAAATTGTGAATTCATTTTTAAAATTTTCATTAGCGATACATTTTTTTGGTCGGTTTGGCCAATTTTGGAAGAAGCATTCAATTTTAAGAATCAAATTAAGAAAGATTATGTAACTATTTTTTTAATAACATTTTGTAATCGTAAATTTTCCTTAAATGATATCCGCCTTCCTCTTTCAAAGTTTTTAAATCGTTTATTACAACAGTTCCTATTAAGTAGAAGTATTAAAATTTCATTAACTATAAATTAATAAAAAAGATACACATTCAATAAAAAAGATTCATAAGGATGATATTCTAAGTTATATATTTTTAACGCTCATTTTGTACCTAAATGTTTAAGCTCCATCTTCTGTTGACTACCAGATTTTTTCAAGCTAAGATGAAACAAATTATTGTGTATTAATTTCAAACCCGTAAATAAAAAGCTTGACTAGTAAAATTATCAAGATTATACACTTTTCAAGACGTTGTATACGCTGTCTCAACATTTATCTTAACAGATTAAGGTTTCAAGGGTAAATTGGGCGTTGCCATCTTTGCATGAAGGGTCACTTGAAATTACGATTACAGTCCCTTTAAAGAATGATTGAAATGAATGAAAAACTACCTATTTAGATCAAACTGGAATCCAGCTAGTTCGGTTTTCTGTCGTTTAGAGAACGCCATTTGTATACTACATTTCTCCCGAATATTTTCCATCTCGCGTCTAAAAATGGAGTATCATGTATTATTAAACAAATATTTGATATTTACATAAAATAAACGTCAAAGGAATTGAGTCTTTGTAACAAAATCAAATATTTAAACCCCAATATCTTTAGAACCCGATGTTGTAAACCTTTGATATTTCAAACTCTGATTATTTGATTTAACAGAATTCATAGTTTGAAATATCTAAGGTCTGTCACATTTCGTTCCAAAGATATAGTGATTAGAAAATCAGAGTTTGTGGCAAAGATTCAATTCCTTTATAAATGGCTTGTCGAAATCGAGAAATTGCCCATGAAAAATTTCATCAACGCATAAATAGAAAATTTCGTGAAATTTTGAGTTTTACGAATACGAAGAATAATGGCGACTTGAAAGCATATACATATATATAATAATAATAAAAATAAAACCCATCAAACACAACAATCTATCCAACCAATCTAAATATAAAATTTGGTGATTTGTCTTAAGAGTTGAGACGATAGTTTTTTAATGACCATCCTAACTATTTTGCAAAAAAATAAGTCTACATAAATAAAAATAAAAAATAAATCTATGAATTCTTACTTTTTGTAAGTATTTTCAATGTATAATGGTAACTCTACGTTATTTTACGTCTACTACAGATGAAGTTTCATTATACATTCAACACTAAATTCATAGATTAATTAAACTAACAGATAGGACACTAGACGTTGTCTTTTCAAGATTCCGTTAACTTACATTCACAATAACCCTGAGGCAGCAACCCAAAGCAAACTTAACTTTTTTGGGCGGCTGCCTCAGTGTTATTGTGAGCGTAAGTCAACAGAATCTTGAAAAGACGACATTTAGTGTCCTTTCTGTTATTTAATTAATCTATGACTAAATTGATCTAACAGTAAAATAATGTAAACTATTTTTAACACTGTTATTTTGGTTCGCAGTGCTATATATTTTTTGGACAGAAATTTTCTCTTTATCGAGAAGGTTCAAGCCTAAATTTAGATTTAATTTTGTCCCAAGCTTTAACGAGGGTCAACATATAGTCTATAAAGGCGAGAACCTTCTAGATAAAGAGAACATGTATAGCATGCCTTGCCAAAATAATAGTGTTATAGGTAATTTTATAAAACGTTTGCGTACTTATGTTATTTTAATGGCTATTTCTAGATAAAATAAGCTTGGGAACAAACATTTTTTGAGAAAATCCGGGAACCAATCAAAACTTTATAGCTATAATGTACAGTTAATTTAACTACGTTCATTCTAAAATTCACAATATAGTGAGGAAGAATGAAAAAGTACGCAATAGCTTCATGAACATTGACCATGAATTTTGCTTAAATCTTTGAAAAATTCTTACTTCACAGTCATCACTTCGTCGTCGATATTTGGTCGGATTGATTGTCTTTGAATCTCCTAAACTCATGCAAATCATAAAATCAAGAGCACCACTGTTTAATGATTTTTTATTGGCGGACAAAAAATTAGATACTTTTGAAAAGCTAGGTAAGTCAGTGCGCTCTTTTGGGTTATTATTATAGATTTCCTGAATTTGTGATTCCTGACTTTCAAGATGGTGCTGCATTTCCTAAAATTTATATTTTTTTAAATTAACCATTTATTATTCAAATGCTTAATATTGGTTGGGTAAGTTACAGACAAAGTTTTTATTCTTAACAGAGAAAAATAAAATATTATATATTACGGAGGGTGTTCCATTAAACTATTAAATTGTCGTCTTTAAAAAGATCATAATGTCGTTTCTTTAAAATATGGTTCTTTGCAGTTGCACATCCTAAGTTTAAATGGGATGCACATTTTTCGTTGTGTTTATTATACAATAATCTTAATTTCTTAAAATTTATATTTTAATGCATTAGGAAAATACATTTGAATTGTAAGTAAATTAAAAGATTTTATATTTTCGTATCGTACCTTAATCTCTTTCCTAAGTTCCATAATGAGTTTCTCAGGTGGAGCTCCACGGCTCAGTGGAGGCAGAGGACCTACGTGAAAACTATTATAATAAATATTGTCGTCTTCGTTATCATTTTCAGAAGAGAGTCGAAAATGATTTGTAAATTGCAACGACCACATCTCTGAAAATGTGCTATGGAAGGAAAAATTTGGTAGAATTACTTTTTAAGGAAAGAACTTAGATAATAATCATTTTTCTATTTGACTCTACACAGGCCTGGGGGGGTGCGTTCGGCGCCCCCCTATAGTTTTTTGCCCTTTCACTCTCATTTTTGACACTATCACCGTGAAATTTAAGACTTTTTATAAATATAAATTTGCAGGATTGGGTACAGGGCAATGAAAAGTATGGTCTTTGTAAAAAAAATCTAAAATAGCCTACCATATTTTTATGACTAAAGCTACAAATCTAAAAACTATAATTTTGAAAAGCCCTTGAAAAATAGATGTAGAAACATGGGTCACACTTTGATATTTGTTTTAAACAAAAAATATTTTTACATTTTTTACCTTTTTTTTGGCATTTTTTCCAACCCTCCCTAGCGCCCAAACTATAAAGTTTATCGATCTATTTTTTTCAATGAGCTGGCCTTGAAAAATTGGGCTGCGAACATACATTTCAACCGTATACATATTCTCTAAGGCCTTTTTCTAGGGGTGGGGGGTGGGACGCCCCCAGTCTATACAAAGATTCAGACCCCCCAGCCTTTATAGGGTTAACAGAAATCAGAATAATTGAATTCTGATTGTACTTATTCTTATTTATAAATAAATGATTAATTTCAATGGACCAGCCTGAAAAATGAAAATGTTGTTTTGCAAGCATTTCAAGTTTAGATTTGTTATGTCTTTTTTAACATTTTAACATTATCTGAATAAAGTTTGTAACCTGGATTTGATTCTACATCATTAGATCTGAGAAGGAGCAGAGCTGATCTCTCTTTAAACATTGTCTCCATTTCTCTAGGAAAAAAAGGAGAACGAAAAAATTCAATTTTGCCACAATTCCAACCCAGAAAACAGAAGTGGATGATACAACGGTATGTCAACTAGTTGTTCTAAACTCCACTTCACAACTCCACTTAAACTCAACTTTAACTCCACTTTTGAATTCCAGTCACCAACTGGGTGAAATCTGGGTGCATAAACTCGACTTAAACTCGACTTTTTGAATCCCAGTTTTCACCGAGTTAGGGTAAAAACTGGGAGTTCAAATATCCACTTTAAAACTTCACTTTAACTTGACTTAAACTCCACTTTTGAAATCCACTTGTCAACTGGGTGAAATCTGGGTGAATAAACTCGACTTAAACTCGACTTTTTGAATTCAATATATTCCCAGTCATCAACTGGGTGAAATCTGGGTGCATAAGCTCCACTTAAACTCAACTTTTTGAATCCCAGTTTTCACTGAGTGTGGGTGAAACTGGGAGTTTAAATATCCACTTTAAAACTCCACTTTAACTCAACTTAAACTCCACTTTTGAAATCTACTTGTCAACTGGTTGAAATCTGGGTGAATAAACTCGACTTAAACTTGACTTTTTGAATCCAATATATTCCCAGTTATCAACTGGGTAAAATCTGGGTGCATAAACTTGACTTAAACTCGACGTTTTGAATCCCAGTTTTTACCAAATCAGGGTGAAAACTAGGAGTTCAAATATCCACTTTCAAACTCCACTGTTGAAATCCACTTATCAACTGGGTGAAATCTAGGTGAATAAACTCAACTTAAACTCGACTTTTTGAATCTCAGTTTTTACCAAGTCAGGATGAAAACTAGGAGTTCAAATATCCACTTTAAATATCCACTTTAACTCGACTTAAACTCCACTTTTGAAATTCACTTATCAACTGGGTGAAATCTGGATGAGTAAACTCAACTTAAACTCTACTTTTTGAACAACATATTTTCCCAGTCATCAATTGGATGAAATCCGGGTGCATAAACTCAACTTAAACTCGACTTTTTGATTCCCAGTTTTTACCAATGAGGGTGAAAACTGGGAGTTTAAATATCCACTTTAAAACTCTACTTTAACTTAAACTCCAATGTTGAAATCCACTTATCAACTGGGTGAAGTCTGGGTGCATAAACTCAACTTAAACTCGTTTTTTTTTATCCAATATTTTTCCAGTCATCAACTGGGTGAAATCTGGGTGAATAAACTCAACTTAAACTTGTTTTTTTAATCCCAGTTTTTACCAATCAGGGTGAAAACTGGGAGTTCAAATATCCACTTTAAAACTCCACTTTAACTCAAATTAAACTCTACTGTTGAAATCCACTTATCAACTGGGTGAAATCTGGGTGCATAAACTCGACTCAAACTCGACTTTTTGAATCCAATATTTTCCCAGTCATCAACTGGGTGAAATATGGGTGCATAAACTCGACTTAAACTTGACTTTTTTAATCCCAATTTCTGTGTCAATATATTCAGGAAACCTCAACTGCACAAAAAAACATTTTTAAGTTAGAATTTAATAATATTTGATGATTTTTGGTAAATGTTTCAAAATTTCTATCATTTTGGAGTAAATCGATGTTTTCATTAGATTCAATGTCAGTAAATTCTTAATGTTTTGATAAATAGAAGTTCCACTTAGACAGCCTTGTAACAGGTTTAATGGTAAGTTAATACAGTATATCATATATTAAATATGTGATTGTTAAATATGTATGCTGTATGTATGTTTGAGTGTTAATTTAGACTCTTACAGATGGAGGAATGATGATGGGGTGAAGAAGAATACTGGATTGGATTGGTGATATCTGGATGATATGTGGGTTATATCATCTGGATGATATATGGATGATATGTGGCTGATATCTGGATGATATGTGGGTGATATCATCTGGATGATATGTGGGTGATATCATCTAGATATCACCTAGATATTATCCAGATATCACCCACATATCATCCACATATTATCCAGACATCATCCACATATCATCCACATTTCATCCAGATATTATCCAGATATCGCCCACATATCATCCACATATCATCCACATATTGGCCAGATATCATCCACATATCATCCACATATCATCCACATATCATCCACATTTCATCCAGATATCATCCAGATATCACCCACATATTATCCAGATATCATCCACATTTCATCCAGATATCATCCAGATATCACCCACATATTATCCACATATCATCCACATTTCATCCAGATATCATCCATATATCACCCACATATCATCCACATATCATCCACATATCATCCACATTTCATCCAGATATTATCCAGATATCACCCACATATCATCCAGATATCAGCCACATATCATCCAGATATCATTTATATATCATCCAGATATCACCCATATATCATCCACATATCATCCAGATATCACCCATATATCACTCACATATCATCCAGATATCATCTACATATCATCCACATTTCATCCACATTTCATCCAGATATTATCCAGATCGTGATCAATCTAAACAAACCCTTGGCCCATCTCAATGAACCAATGCCACCTCTAAATATCAAGAACCCAGTTTTCGGATATTGTTAAAACAAGACATTCTCTATTTGCCCCCTGAAAGCACATGAAAAAGTATAAGGGAATTATTGTCCATGTTTCGCAGCAATAAATGGTTTGAATACACACTTTTGAAAAATATTCCACGGGCATTCTAAACCATGTGAAATCCCTTTCTCACTTGAAGATATTGAATATGTAAAAAATTGCAATGTGTAATAAATTCATGATTGTTTTATTGTAATTTTGATCTAATTTTCAAGCTTTAATTAATATGAATAAACATTTAAATCTCAACAAGATATACAGTACACTGATTATGCATTAAACTAATTTGCAGTATAGTAATATTCACGAATTTATAGTAAACTAACCAATGAAAGTATAGTTTTAAGGTTAGAGAGAGATATAATTATAAAAACTGATTTTACTACTTTAAATGGTGTCAGTCAATAATAATCGTTATCATCAATTTAAAAAATTGGTATGTCTAAACTCTCTCTTTCTTTATATATATATCTATCTTTATATACTTTGCTTGTCTGTCTGTTTGTTTGATTCCAATTTAACGTCAAAGCGACTGAACCGAGTATATGTATATTTGTCCATGTGAACAGATTTCTATCTGAATATATATAATATTATTTTTACAGTTAATAGATTTAAAGATTTGAATTTGGTAATAATAGCTATATTTTATGTTTCTTGACTTCCAATATAAATGTACATTGTCTTAACCATCAAAGAAAACTAAAGTTTTTGCCGGGAGCAAACTGAATTCGGTTTTATCAATAAATTCCCTTTAACTTATCTCCCCTACCCCCCCCCCCTCACCTTCATTTCCCCTCTTTTCCCCCGAACTTATCTTCTTCCCTGTATTATTTAGTTGTTTTTTAAGAAATATCCCCATGCCCCCTCTCTTAGGATAGCATTCATGCACAAATACAGTGAACCAAAATATTTAATCAAATGTTTTTTAAAGGAATTATGATGAAAAATATTTTTTCCTCTTTCTAAAACCACAATGATTTTTAAGGATTAGATAATGATTACCTTTCAAATGCAGTTGTGAAAGTTGTGAATATAAAATATGTTCTTTTGAATTTCTTTTTTGAAATCTCTTCAGTCTTCAAACGTATTAATCTCCCTAGTACATGGTATACTGACTATTGGCTGTATGTATACTGTACGCAACTCACTCTTGCTGCTTAAAAGTCAGACTTATACTTCAAATGAATCAGAGTTTTTAGTGCACAATGTTTCTATTACGATCATCTCAAAAACCTTAAAAAGCATTAAAAGTTACTCAGAAAACTCAGAAGATTTGTCCTTTAAATGGGATTGGGTTTGGAAGCATTAAAAAATATCGTTTTTGAAAAAATAAAGCAAAAATAAAAAACTCAATTCCTTTATTTTCATTGCAGTATTAAGTAGATTATATGTCAAAGATTTAGGCGCAAAAAAAGTGTGACATTCATTACGTAAGTCTTAAAAAACACAGTTTCAAAATAAAATTGTCTTTAATTAGTAGTTTAGTAGTTTATTTTTAGATTCTATTTAACTAATATATTACAGCTTCTATATACAGTACACAGTATATCTGCAATCAAGCAGTATAGGTTTATTAGATTAAATTAAATACCAGGAATTTCACTAAAATGACATTAATGAAATTGTTGCAATTTATCCTTGCAAATTAATTGATGGAAATTCTCCAAAGAAGTCTCCTTGAAGCTCAGTAGGCCTAAAAATTAGAATTAAGATAATAATTTGAATTAAAACTCTAAATTTTTTATCCTTTTATCTTTGCAACCTGGTGTCGAAGACCTTTGATATCATACAGTAAATATACTTTGCTTGTCTGTCGTATCAAATAAACGTCAAAATGGCTAAACCGATCGGGCCAACAAATTTTGTAGCAACTAATATGACCGCAGGTAAGGGTTGTGGACTGTTAAAAGTGAAACTAATTTCCTGACAAAAATGTTTATTTTTAAAGTTGAAAGAATCTATAAAAGTTTACAGAGATTTCAAAATGTCTCTCTATTTTTGGTTCAATTATTGAACTAAGCCCAAACAAGAGACTGGACTGGAACGCTAGGTCGGATTGAAAATAAAGGAACTGTAAGTGTAAACATGTTATGGAGATACGAGTACAAGTGACAAAATTAATTTCATTAATTCTTGAAATTGTTCACCTTTCTATTAACCTAGCTTGAGACTCAGTTACTAATTGAGCGACCTCCTGACCAGAAAATGAGTTTCCAAGGTCAACCTCCTCAAATATACCAAAACTGGATCGTTGTTGTTGTTGTTGTCTAACAGCTGGAAAGGCTTCCTGTGGCTGTTGCTGAAGGACAAGTGGTTGTTGCTGTTGTGGTTGGATCTCTGGCAGGAAAGAATCAATGGGAAGAGATGGACGGGGTTGTTGCTGGGGAACTTGTTGTTGTTGTTGTTGTTGTCTGTTTCCAGAATTAATTCTGTTTTTGATTTCATTAAACAGTGACCCTTGATTGCTTTGACCAGTTTGTTGTTGGAAAGAATTAAAGGATGGTTGTTGTTGCTGGATTTGCTGCTGTTGAGAGATTTGTAGTTGCTGTTGAGGTTGTTGCGGAGGGAATTGTTGCTTTTGCTGGAATGGAAATCTGGAAAGAAACATTTGCTGTTTGCTGTTGAACTGAGGGGCAGAAGCCGGCCGTTGTTGGATTCTGCCGTCGTTGCCGACAAAAAACGAGTTAGTGGGGTCAACCTGCTTTAGCTTTGGGTCAGCTTGGAGTACGCCAAACTTGGTACTTCCGGCAAATGATGGGATCTCTTTCCGGCCAGTAGATATGGAACTTATTTTAGGAATTCTGAACACAAATATTATTTTAATAATTAAAGTAAACAAAAACAAAAAAATTTTTATTTTCGTTATAATTTGTAAAATTAATGATTATTGTTACTAAGCCAAAACTTCAATGGGCGACACCGGTCACTTCATCTAGTTATAAATATTTTCATAAAAAAAAACAATACTATTTGTTATTATGAGCCCACCTGTTATTAGGAATGTTGTTTGTTAGGATTTCCTCTGCAGTTCTATTCCTAATTCCTCCGTTCGGACCAGGGCAACCATCACAACCATCTCGTGTTTCCCTAATTAGTTTATTAATTAGGCAAGAATTGTCAACTATATTTTAGTTAATATAAGGCTCTTATCCACGTTTTAAAGTGACTGAAGATGTAATTTCTAGTTCCTTGCATTTGTAAATTTGTAAGCGTGCCCTTACAACCAAAAACTGATCAATATCATTTTATTTATTTCACAATTTCTTTCATTTTTTAGAAACAGAAATTTGAAGGTCACAAATAAAAATGATTGAGTTTCCAAGTTAAAAACATGGATATCTATATTAATCTTGATCATACAAAGCTTTTAATGGTACCATTGTGAGTTGGGCATGCCTGCAATGTTAAGAATGTAATTACACATAGATTCAATTTTAACTCATGGCTGCTTTTCAATATTAAAAAGAAGTTTTTTTTTCATTCTTTGGACACAAATTTGGAATGTTATATATGATAAAAATGTGAAATATTAAGTACGTATTATGAAACATGTAAACCACACAAATCTCACGGTGTAAGACTTTGTTACTGTTATGATTAAACCTCTGGAATTACATGTCAATCATTCCTAGAATCTGTAAATATCTTAATTTGTTCATTAATAACCACCCCTCCCCTGTAGAAAAAATACAGTTAAGTACAAAGGAATTAAGCTTTTGTCATAAACTCTGATTTTCTAATCCCTAAATCTTTGCAACCCAATGTCGTAGACTTAAGATTTTTAAACAACAAAATTTTGCTTGATCAAATAATCTGAGTTTGAAATAATAAAGGTTTACACTGTCAGGCTGCAAAGATAAATGGATAAGCAAATTTAAGTTTGTGGCAAAGACTTAATTCCTTAGCCTTTAGATTAAACAAAAAAGACAAGTGATAGGACTTTGCAAACTTTCTTCCTCCTTTCATCATTATTTTGAGAAAATGAATATTGCTTAGTTGCAGTCCCCAATCAAAATTTGAGGCAAATCGGTCAAAGGGTTCATGAGCAAAATGGTTCTGGAATTATTGTGATTAGCTACCTAAACCGTATATATAATTTACCTCAGATCCCCTTCACAAACCGGATATGGTAACCATGTTCCGTCTGTGTTGCACAGTGAATCTATGGCAGGCCCTGAAAAATACATTATAGATATTGAAAGGAAGACAATATTTGGAAGTACAACATTTATGCAACTATTGACTTTTAAATAAAAAAAAAATATAATATAAATGTTTGAAGACACTTAATAATGATGACAACATTGCTTTAGCTTTTCAAGTACGCAATTGTGAAAATACTTTTTTCGCTATAAATTAGCAATATTTTCGCTATAAATTAGCAATATTTTCGCTATAAATTAGCAATATTTTTTAAAATTTTGAATGAATCCAATTATTTGAACTAATTATTTTTTTATCTGACGTTTTTGCACAAAGAAAATTTAATTACAACTTGTCCTCTATTTTTAGATGATAACGGTTTTTATATATTTGTATTCACATTGTATCCGCATTGTATCCACATTGTATCTACATTGTATCCGCATTGTATCCACATTGTATCTACATTGTATCCGCATTGTATCCACATTGTATCTGCATTGTATCCGTATTGTATCCACATTGTATCTACATAGTATCCGCATTGTATCCACATTGTATCCGCATTGTGTCCACATTGTATCCGCATTGTATCCATATTGTATCCGCATTGTATCCACATTGTACCACTCCTCAAGTTGCTACAACCACACCTGAGTATTCTACACCTTAACAAACCAATGCTAAACTTAACCCCCCTCTTGTTACACTTAAAGCTAACATAGTGCATCCTAGCCGTATTGGAATACTTTCAGTCACATTTTAATCATTTAAATTTTAAATCCTTCAAAATACTTTAAGAGACCTTTATATTTCCTATTTATTTCTATTAATATTTAAAATACGAAGCCCAACAAAAAAATACAAATATCAAATAAGAAAACGCTACATTTAATGGTTCAAAATGATTTCCTAAGTTAAGACCAAGACCTCTAGTTTACCGTGAACCCCCCCCCCCCCGGTCCCCTCCTTCTTGTCCTATCTCTGTGACAAGGGGATCTAAATGTATACTCGTGTAATATAAATGTTGATTTTACAGGCGTGGTGCCTGTAAAATCAACATTTTTTAATTCAAAGGATTAATAGCGTTCTTTCACTGTTTAAACCAAGCTGTATTGTTCACTTCAAATAGAAACGTATTGATGACATTTAATTTAAATGCAACCAATTTGATCTAGTGTGTAAAAAAATAAGTTTTTCATTTTGCGAAGAAATATCAGTTTATTTATACAGTGAGTATACAGTGAGAAATATAATATTATGGAGTGAATGACTCCTTTGTTCAATCTTTTAATTAAGATGATAATTTTGTAACGCTTTCTTCCTTTTTTTAACAAAATTCTCAACATGTTAACTAAATCTAACTGTATAGAACGGAATACGCACCTGTTGCACATTTGAAATTACATCTTGAGTTCAGAAAACCCTGATTGGAAAAATATTCATTTTTAACAAGTAAACACTTCTGAATTGTTAGTCATACCTATATTCTTATAACCAGAGGCGCAACTAGGGGGGGGGCGGCCGGGCGCGCGCCCTCCCCTAGCACCTGAGAAGGGGGGGGCGCGCCCCCCCCTGCAGAATGAAAAGAAAGAAAGAATGGCGAAAATCAGTATCACAGGAATAAGAAAACCAATAGAGTTATTGTAGAAATTTTATTATACTATGGTTAGTTTTAAAAAGAATATTTTTATCTTTCTCAATTCTCAAGGCTAAAGGCCATTGTAAACATTTAATGTAAAAAAAAGTTCTGAACTGTATTTTATTTGTGTTGAGTTTATAGAGTACTCGTAGATATCAAACTTTGAATTCTTATGGTAAAATATTCCAAGTTTGAAATATTAAATGTTTACACCACTCGGTGCAAAGATTTAGGGATTAGAATATTTGAGTTTGTGGCAAAAAATCAGTTCCAAATCTAGAGAAAATTCTGAACCTGGCAAATTTCTAACTGATTATCATATTTGATAACTAAAAAGATTTATCTTCTTTGACAGAAGTTCTGTAAAATCGAAAATGAATTTAGATTATGAATGTTGGTTAAATCAATCATTAATTCAATAACTTCAAGAGAAAAGGTAACATCCTCTGTCCTTTTTCATTGTAGATGATTGAACTTATTATTTACCTATGTATTTTTATGTTTTTTTTTTTCAGAAACTATAAATGATTATTTCTTGCAATTTATTCTGTAATTAAACCAGGTACTTAAAAAATACTCTTTTGCGATTCGCACACATATTCAATGAATTGACTCATATCATTCATTTTACAGCTGTTGGAAGTATAAATTTTGTAAAAACACGAGAACAAAAAATCGATTTGAATTGAACACAGCCAAATCTGCATGCAACAACTTAAAATTTCCTTTTTTTCGACTTTAAACCCTTAAAAAGCACTTTTGTTTTTGAAAAATTTTCGAAAAAAATTAGATTTTTTTATGGCCTATAACACCCCCCGGCCACCCACGAGTGTCCCCAAAAAATTTCAGCCATCCGTTTGGCCGGTTACAGGGAACATATATATATATATACGAATGTCTTGTCTCATTATAAAGATTAGGATCAAACTAACGTAAATTTACGTATTGTTATTCTTACCCCACTGCAATATTTTTTCAATTTTGTATGTTTAGGTTTAAGAGAATTTCATTCATTACATGATTTGGATTGGGTTAAAAATTTGATTTGAACTCTTGTGATGTTATACAATAATGTGACGCAAGCGTAACAAATGTATAGATGACGCAACCTTACAGACATTTACAAAGGTTGATACACGAAGGCAAGGTTGCAGGCGGGAGGTATCTAATAATAGATAAGGGCGTGGTTAAAGGGACTCTGCACTAATAATAGACAAATATCGGGAAAGCTAAACTTTTTTAATACTTTTAAAACGAATTAATAAATTGTAAATGAAATTAAATGAATGTTTTTAAAAATTTTATTTCTTTAAACAAGTTTTAATTCAATGTTTTTACATCAATTCAAACCCGTGTTTTCTTTTTAAATTGATTGAATGACTTGATTCATAATAGGCAAAATGGACGAGGGCGTAGTCATTGGCTTCCACCCCCCTTGATCTCCCTCCCGGCCCAACCTACATAGAAACTAATATGCAGTGAACATAAATTAAAAAAACATTTTAAGTCGGTCAAAAACCGGTCAACTTGACTCCAAATGATAGACAAATGTTTAAAAAGTACTGCTGTTAAACGTACATAATGGCCACATGAAATTACGCCTACACAACGCACCTCTGCTCCTTTAGTAAAAGTAAATTCAACTTGTATGAAGTATTAAGTCTGACCGCGTCAACCTTGTTGCACGGGCTAGTCCTGTCAATAGAGCTAGGTACAGTAAAAAATGGGACCGGAAAGGTTGACCCGGCGCGGAAATTCAAATGTACTACGGCTGCCCGTGCACCGTCTCTTTTAATGGGTCTAAGAGTCCTTGGTAAGGGAGACGCATTGTCTTGCGGGGGCGGGGTTATGAATTAACATTGCTATGATGGATGCATGCCAAAAATGAGGTAGTTTTTAAAATTGCTAATAACATTTGATCCATTACAAATCAACCACTCTCAAACTCTATAACTAGCCAACTAATCGGGTAACATTTAAGTGGCACTTTAAAACTTGTTAATTTTTGATAATAAAACAAATTTATCATTCATCAACCACAGATTACAAAGAAAGGTCAAGCAGGGAAGTTTGAAAAGAAACTGCCATCATTGCAGAGTACTATCCGAGACCGCCCCCCCCCCCTTGATTTTTAATGGAGCCCCATAAAAAAGTTAAGATTTCTTTGATTTCCAGTGAAATGAGTTTGGTCTGTGTTAAAATTTCGATGAAAATCTGAGGCTTCATTGATCAAAATGAAAATATCCCTGAGAGCAGTATCCAGGTATACCCGGACATATCCCGGTTATCTGTTCTTCAACTCCAGGTTCGTGTTCAATACAACGAGGGATATCTGTCCAGGTTCCATCCTCCTGGAACAAAAAATATAAGTCTCCACAGACGGGGATAATTTATCCGATGTACCGTCCCGTTTAGACGTCTATAGCCTAGCTGTATTACTGTAAACTGTAAACTCCTGTTTACTTCAGGCAGCTAGCTAGAGAAAATATAAGTCTCCACAGACGGGGATAATTTATCCGATGTACCGTCCCGTTTTGCCGTCTATAGCCTAGCTGTATTACTGTAAACTGTAAACTCTTGTTTACTTCAGGCAGCTAGCTAGAGAAAATTGTACAATTATTGCATACACTTTAGAAAAATGTACACAAACTGAACCATCCGACTTTAGAGAGATTATTGTCGTATACCACAGTGGACATTGCTCTAGTAGCCAAGGGGTCGGTCTAGTATTTCAAATGAACAGGAAATTACATTGGTAAAACGATTTCATATTTAAGGATAAAACTGAAAAGACGACATCTAAAATATATAAGACAGAAAAGAACATGATCTTTCATGTACAGGATTACCCTCGAAGAATGAGACAGTAAAGACTTCCTGAAACTCCTTAAGTGTTACGATTCCAAAGTTAAAGATACAGATAAAAATAAAGATAAAGATAAAGTTAAAGATAAAGATAAAGATAAAGATAAAGATAAAAATAAAGAATAAAGATAAAGATAAAGATAAAGATAAAGATAAAGATAAAGATAAAGATAAAAATGAAAATAAAGATAAAGATAAAGATAAAGATAAAGATAAAAGATAAAGATAAATAGTGAATTAAAAGTAAATGCTCACCTGACACAATGGAACATTGTTTCTTCCGAAGCTACAAACTACATTGCACGTTTGTCCAACGAAAGACTCTGAGCAATAGCCAGGGAACCCTATGAGATGAATAATTTGATAGATTGTATAGACGGATAAATATATATAGATAAATAGGTAAGTCATTAAGACACATAGACATCTAGGAACAGAGACATACAGATAAATATATAGAAAGATAAACAGAAACAGATAGACACAGATTCACAGATAGTTACAAAGACAGATATGTAAGATGAATATTTAAACATAAATACACCTAAACATATACACTTACATTGAGATATACAGACAAACACATTGACATATATTTGTTCTACCTGGACATGTTTTGAGTGCATAAGAAGACGATAAAACCGCGGCTCCGATTATTAGTAAAAAGTGCGCCATGTCTGGACCAAACAATAATGTTAAAAGTACAACAAATTTACTTTATTTATCAATTTTATATTATTTTTTTCAGTTTAAATCTTAACGATTATAAGAATTTCTAAAATTGAGGAAAGAAAAAATACTTTTTGTTTGTTTCTCTTTACATATTTTTGGTTTTTAATTGAACATTATGTTTCCTGAACAAGCTCGCACTGTAATGTTCGCGTGATGATGAACAGATCTTCACTGCGCGTTAGGATTAGGCGCAAACGCGCCTAGTATCACACACTTAAACTGCTCCGAGGGAGGGATGTTTATAATGTCATGAGCCAACTTATAGTTGAGCTCGGAGCCTTGCAACCTGCACCGTAAAAAGTCTCAAAGAAGACTTTTTAATATTTATTAGGACAAAGTATAAATACAGTAATCCACACAAAACTGTGAAATAGGGAGGACAGAATTTAACTTATTGTGTAGTCGATGCTTTTATAAAGCAACAAGTTTTACCAATGTACCCCTTGAAATTAAACTTATAAATTGAAATGGGTCTTAATAACTTGAGTCTAATAGTCGTTTTACTATTTCACAGTTTTAGAGATTAGAGATGTGCACGCTTCCACTTTTTTATTTCGTTTGTTCATCGTTCTTAAAGGACTAATTTCGTTCGTTCTGTAACCGTTCAAAAACAATAATTTCGTTTGTTCTCAAAATTAACGTTCATTTTCCATTTATTTATTTCATTTTCTCTCAGTAAAATAGTTCGTGCAGTTCGTTAAATATAATCGTTCTATTAGTAAACAAAAATTTGTTTTAAAAAATCGTTCATTCAGTAAAAACAATAGTTGAAAAACTCGTTCGTTCAGTAATGTTCGTACGCACGATTTCAAATCGTAATTTTTTTGGCTTTTAAAGGACTATAATTTTTTTTATTTTCTCTAAACGCTCCATTTTGTTTGTCCAACGTTTTCCATCGTTCCTTGTTTATTTCTGAACGACACACTTTCCAAAAAAAAATATTGATTTTTTTTTGTTTAAAAAACAATGCCCATCTCTATGACCTGGTACCTCCACTTGTGTCGATTTTATAATCTTAACAGTTCTCCAAAACATTTTTGTCTACATATTTGATATTTCAATATGTACATTCTGTTTTATAAAATAGTCTAAGTTTGAATTATCAAATGCTTGCACCCTCAAATTGCAGAGAAATAGACAGCCCATGTTTTCATATTACAGATACTTACAACTACAAGTCGAGATAAGTGAGGTCAGTTTTCTTCCTATCTCGCGAATTTCGTATTATAAACATACAACCAACGTAAAGTAATTAAACCTTATTATTACATGTGTTTAGCTCTCATCTTTGAGCTGTCAATTATTTTGGGATGCTTAAAGTGTATAAGTAATTAAAGTTATTAGGGAGATTTAACAGTTATGTTTAGAATAACAGACATCATGCGCATAGTTCAAATACTGCAAAACAAAAATAGTTTTAAAAACGACCTGTAAAATTATTCAATTGAAAGAAATACCAATTTTACTTATATACTCACACTCAAGCAAAATTTCATAAATTAAATACGCATTCCATAATTTCACAATAAAAAATGTACAAAATTTTATGGTCAACAAAAAATAAGATTATTTTTATTTACAAAAAATACAAAATTACAAGATAAAAAAATTTTCTATTTCACTATTTTTTTACACCTTGTCTTCAAATTTCACATCTTTTTTATATTTAAGTTTTTAAATGCATTTTTTAATGCAGGTTTTTGGACTTTTCAAAGTCAATTCAACATGCGTTGACAGAGTGAATGCTCTTAACTTCCCTGTAAAGTAGTTGAAAATAAATAAATTTGCAAATGCATATAATTTAATGCATTTTTGACTATTTACAATCGAACACAATACAAAGTTTACAAACACAAGATACATTCCCTTCCGCAAAAGCTGAGAAGTCCGTAGAGCACGAACAACTTAAATATCACTTAAATTGATTGAAAAAAATTTGCATGAAAATCTACGAAATTGATCAAAAAAAAACGTTTTACCGCACTTTGGTAAAGTTATCACTTTCTTGTTTAAAAGGACCGATTTTCATCTTCAAAATATATTTTTGTGCGACTTTTAAAAATATAAATTTTTTAGATAATATGATTTTTCTTTAATTTTCTCTCAATGGGATATAGTCAGGTAGAAGAATGGAAACCTTGGATCGGAGAAATTCCCTGAAAAGAGAAATACATTAAAAGTTGTTTTTACTTCTTAATGGGATGGTCTTTGTGTTGTCCCTCCATACGCAGATTCACAAAAGTACTCTTTAAACCTTCGTCTGATCAATTATGTGGAAGATATAGTGGTTCTATTTAGTTTCAAAAGTCTTTAAAGGGAGTGTTCGCGAAAAATGAAAGGGGGTATAGGCTTAATTCGATTAAAAAGCGCTTTTGATCGCTAATAATTTTACTTCTATTTGTTGCGTCTATAAGAAGAAAATTGTTAAAGACGTCGCATACCGAATAACTTAGCGCCCATACAAATTCAGAAAATTGCAACATACAACTTAGACCGTAAAAAATCAATTTAATTTCAAACAAATCATTCAGATATTTCAACCTATGGTCATCGATTATCTTTTGCCACATTTGTATATAGTTTATATTTTATAATATTTTATTTTTTTAGAAAACGTTTTAACAGATTTCGAAAAATGTGAATGGTTCGCGGCATTCGTAGATAGTTGCGCAAGCGACAAAAGAAATAATCAAATTCAAAACAAATTAATTAAAAAGTATTATGAAATATAAACTATATACAAATGAGGCGAAAGATAATCGATGACTATAGGTTGTAATATCTGAATACAACAGATAGAAGTAAGATTAGTAGCGGTCAAAAGCACTTTTTTTATCGCATTAAGCCAATACCCCCTTTCATTTTTTTGCGAACACTCCCTTTAATTCAGACAATTTCCTCTCTAGTTTTAGTTTAAAAGAGAAACCACAATTGCAAATTTCAAAGAGAAGATGATGAATATCTAATGTATTCTTAATCAGACAAAGTTTCACTAGCTTGATGAAACGTCTTTTAAACTCATTTCTGCAGTTCCTTTGAGTTTATTAGCCGTTAGAAAAGGTCGAAAAACTAAACAGAAATAATTCAATCTAATTATTCTTACATTCCTACTGCTGAATATTTATTGATTTTATTGTTAATTAAGTTATATTTTCCGTAAAACATATTTTTAATGACTCGGAGGGTATTTTTATCATTTGAATCAAACTCAAAATGTTTTAGATCATCATTAAAGTATCAACCTTTATGAGTAACCCTGTATATGTTCAATTAATATTTTATATACCTCGTGTTTTCGCTTTCCAATATTGATTCTTTCAAGAGAATATATCTGAGCCACAAAAAGAAATATTTTCGTTTCAGAATCCTAAATTTTTTTCAATTATCGTTTATTAATATTTTTTTTGTCGAAACTGAATAAGTAAAAAATGTCAAAAATACTGAAAATTCCGAAAAAATTGAAGAAAAAAATCCGTAAAAGAGAAGGAAAAAAGCCGGAAAATATTTGGTGAAATATGTCAGGGTAAAGGTGAGAAGGAGAAAAATATGGAAAATATGCAACAATGAGAAAAACATAAGTGTAAAGCAGATGAAAAAGAAAAAAATATCAAAAACAATTTTATAAGAATCTTTTTCACTAGCTTTGTTACAAGAAAGCTATTTATCTAGTAAGTAAAAAGAAGCAAAGTGTCGCCAAATCTTAGCCGTTGATTTTATCTTAAATTGTTTTCTCTCAATTTTATAGACCTAGACATGCAAACGTAAGAACTTTAGAGTACGTAATTTTTGGCTTTTGTTTTTAAGAAGAAATTGGCAAAATTCTTATAGACTTTTTGTGTATTAGTTACAATCTTTGAATCATTTTAAGAATCATCCAAATATCTTAAATTACCTGGAATAAAATAAATCACTTTTGATGCTGAGCGAATATTCTCTACGTTTACTCATCCTAAATATTAATTCATGAAAAATTTAAATAACATAGAACTAATTTAATAAATATTTAAGGGATTGTCGACTAACTTCTAGTGACCTATCTGCTGCCCACTTAGTCTGGTCAATCATAAATTAGATATTCTGGATTTTCTAGCTAAAAATTAAATACCATTATTTTCAATTGTGGTTTCACTACAAAAGTGACTTGATGATTTATGCTGATATGACAGTGAATATCATAATCAAAATTTAACACAATTTAAGATAACAATCATTGAAATCTTTCTCATAGTTACTCAGATAAAGATTTAAAGGGTTACTGATGTAAACCGTAGATATTACCCTACAAATGAAGATTATTAGCTTTAAGTTTACAGTCTACAGCCCCTTTAATAAAGAACACCTTTCTAACACTGAACAAAACAGCTAAATATTGGTTTCAAAATATTTTCACGAAAAAACAGAGCTTACCTCACTAATTCTCTCCAGGCTTGAAAATATCGCGAGTTTATTTTCAGATCTAGAAAATCGTCTGCAGCCTGAATTTGAGCTCGTTCAGAGAATATTACCTAAATTTCGCCATTATTGTCCTATATATTTATCATTGAATTTCATGATCTGCATTTTTCTGATCATCTGTTTTGTTGTCATTTATTATGTGCGTTGACGCTTTTCTTCTTATTATGATTTTTTTGTTGTTTCATCTTTCAAATAATCACTATTTTTATCATTTTCTATAAATATGTATGTAACTGTACGTAGTTTTTGGTTATTTAAAAAAATGTATTTTTATTTTTTTTTAAATTATTTTACCTCTTTCCATTTCAAAATATACTTTTTACATTGTATTTTCATAAAATGTTCCACAGCTTTAGATTCCTAAATCAATTTTCAAAGATGTTTTATAAATATTTTTAAGAGCAATTCATGAATACAAGTGGAAGAAATCATTATTATCATAACATTATTGGTTTCAAATAATTTTTGTGACTTTTATAAATTTTTTTGAAATATTCCTTTTTTGATTCCTCCTCCCTGCAGACTTGTTGCCAAGCATTAAACATTTTCCTAAATAATAAAGAGAATGTTCAAAGGACTGTAAATTTAATTTCAAGTGACCCTCCATTGTTAGATGTCCGATTCACAACGGCACCCTTGAAAGCTTTGTCTGATCAAATATGATAACCATGCTCATAACTTTCAAAACTGATAATTTTCCAATAAGAGTTTCCACAAAAGTGGCTTGCGCAATTCCATGCTGCAGGAAAAAATTGTAAGAATTTTCAGAATTATACACTTTTAAAAATAGAAAAATGACGTAATCTGCCACATTACTAATCAGATAAAGGTTTAAATGGGCTAGTTTGTCCCTCTTTAAATGGAGAGTCACTTAAAATTAGAAATGCAGTCCATTTAAAGTAATTAAAAACTATCATTTCCGTTTCAGAGAATTTTTTGATACTTTCTGTTAATATAACCATTTTTTTATGGGAAAACTATTTTTTTCTTTTCCTGCTTCAAAGAACTAAGAACCTGAAGTAAGAAAGTATAGTTTCTATTTAAGATAATAGAATTTTTTTTCGAGACGTTGATTAATCTTTTTAACCCTGACAAAGCTCAAAGAATTTAGTTTTTGCTTACTATAAATAAATGCCCTACTTACACGCAGGGCAACCCAAAAATGAAGAGACTTTAATAACGACCTAAAACCATTGATACACAAAACTAATGGTTAGGTTTATGCAAATGAGTTAAATAATCCTATATTTTATATTTCAATAATTAAAGAAAAAAAGTTACAGTTGCATAAGACCATTCTTGTAAGAAGACAAAATGTAATCCCTACTGTCGTCTCAGAATTATCTTCCTTAGTGGGTAACCCTTTATGCATATTATAAACTGAATAAAGTTGCTGAAAAAAAAGAACTTTTAACAAATCACACTGCAATGTCAATCTTTTATGTAGTATTACCAATGCTAACTTAATTCTAACTTACTCTATTAAAAACTATTATTAATCATGCAAATTATTAAAACAATTATTCCTACTTTGTTAGTTTGTATGAACAAGTTTTTACAAACCTTTTTAGCTGATATTTATGAAAAAGTGATGATTCAAGTTCTTTTAGCCTTACGTCTTCCAGCAGACGAATCCAGGGGGTCAATCCGTACCTTCTAAACATGCAGCAAAATAGTTTTCAGAATTTTTAAAAATAGTGCTTTGAAAATATTTTGAACTTTGAAGTAAGTATTACAATTCCCTTTCTGCGTAGTGTACTTGGTTGGGATATGATTAATGCTTATTTGTTAAACTAAGAGTAAAAACTTGATTTGAAAGAAAATTAAAAATCTAAAAATATTTCTAAAATCAAACCTGAGCAAAAACGAGTTATAAAAGTTGTCTGCTTTAAGTTCAGCGTATCTTCTCTTTTCTTCTTCCTTCCGTTTTCTCATTTCACGTGCCATTTCCTCTTTCCTTTGCTGACGCCATCTTTTAATAAAAAAATAAGAAAATGGATTGATTAAAAGATCACATTTCATATTCTTATTCAACTTCAAAGCATGATATATTACAAATAAACAATCACAATTTACTATTCAGCCAAATCAGGGTAGGTTGTTTTTATTGGTTGACCCTAGTTTAGTCAACGATGATGGATATAATTGGATACAAACATCCAATTCACATATGTTTTGTGATAGGTAAGGAGTTTAATGAAAGGTAAGAGATTGTCAGGTAATCTGTGGCGGGTTACAATCAGAGGCATTAACGAGGAGACACATTTAATAGACTAAATGATCTTATCAATAATAAGAGAGACTGTCTTGTTTCAGCTTGAAAAGAGTTTTATTCGGATAAATAATTGTTTTTTATAAACTGCGCAAATGACTTGTGTAGAGAAACCAAAACTAAAAACGATCAAATTTTTAAGAGACATATAGGAATGTGTCTCATTTATTTTGATCTGCCAAAGCCTGATAGTGATATCTAAACCTTTCTAAACCTCTTGGTATATATACAGGGTGAGTCAAAAAAAGTGTAATTTGCGGCGCCTGGTGCAAAATTGTACCTTTTCTTGTGCAACTCTCCTGTATGGTGTTTTTTTTCAATATTTTTTGAAAATTTGTAATTTTTTTGGTAATTCAATGACCAAAAAAAATCCGCGAACCTTTTTTCTCTCAAAATCTAAAGTTTAGAACAACAAAGATGCGTAAATAAATTGTTTCTATCGAAATCTAAAATTTTTAAAAGCTTGAATCACAGAATCTCAGAAAATTTGCTAAATTGTAATAAGAAAATTCACAATTTTCAGTTCTGGAATAATTTTTACTGAAAAATGTTTTTCCATGGTTCTTAAGGTTAAAAATGAACAGCGTATATTTAATGCTTAAGAATAAACTAAGAAGAAAGAAACATCATGATTTAAATAATTTTCCCTTAAAAATTAGACCAGAACTAAAAATTGTGAATTTTCTTATCACAATTTTGCAAATTTTCTGTGATTCTGTGATTCAAGCTTTAAAAAATTTTAGATTTCGATAGAAATAATTTATGTTTACATTTTTGCCTTTCTGAACTTTTTATTTTGATAGAAAAAAAGGTTCGCGGATTTTCTTTTAGGCCATTGGAGTACCCCAAAAAAAATTACAATGGCTATACAATGGCATTAGAAAATAAAGAAAATAACCTTGTCAAGATTTTTTCAGACAGTACCTTGACGGTTGTATGCAGTTGACCAATGGCTTGATTTCTTGCTGCAGCATTTATATATGTAATTAACGTTTAGGTAAAGACATAAAGATCGGATACCCTATTATTTACAATTCAAAAGTTAGTGAAAAATAACAAGTTCCCCCCCTTCTACCTGGCTCTTCGTTCCCTCAACTCCTCCTCTGCTTCCTTCTCCTTCTTTACTTCAATACTCCTTCTCCTCTCCCTCTCCTCAGCAGCTCGCAGCTCATGCAGCTTCCTTCAACCAATCAATCAAATCAAATAAAAAAACAACAATTAATTAATCAAAGAATTAAATCAACAATCAGTAAATTTTACAAACAATCTAATCAATTAATCTACAATTCATAATTTAATCAATCATTCAAATAAAATATCAAATAAGTTTTTAATCAAATCAATAATGAATCAATAAATCCAATTAAATTTACAATCATTTAACAATCAATCAATTAAACAAACAATTGGTCAATTAATAAATCTATTAAATCAACAACCCGTCAATTAATTAATCAAATAAACAATCCACAAATAAAATAATAGAATAAAAAAATATTCATTCAATCAACATAAATCTTCAATACATCAATCAATTAATAAAATACTCAATCCAACAATCAATTAATCAAATACTCAATCCATTAATCAATTAATCAATTACTCAATCCATCAATCAATTAATCAATTACTCAATCCATTAATCAATTAATCAATCCATCAATCAATTAATCAATCCATCAATCAATTAATCAAATACTCAATCCAACAATCAATTAATCAAATACTCAATCCATCAATCAATAAATCGATTGAATAAATAACCAAACAATCTATCGATTTTGCAGATTCTTTATTATAAAAGTAGTGTAAACTAATCTTTATATTGAGAATTTTCTTTTTATACCTTATTTGTTCTCTTTTTTCTCGTCTTCTCTTGTCCTTTTCTTGTATTTTTATTAAAATTTCTGGAGTTTTTTTGGAACAATGCACTTCATCGTCATCCTTTAATACGTAAAAGACATTAAAATTCACAAGTTCCATTAAATCTTATCTATTTATCCAATAAATCTAGAATAAGCTGAACCGATTTGACCCAATTTTTTATTTAGAATCAGAAAGATGCTCACTGGTAAAGTGACAGTAAAAATAAAGTGTTTCTAAAAGAAAATGGAATTTAAACGTTCTGGAGACCTGGAATTCTAAACTGTACCTCAAAATCCTCGCTATAATTATATTCTGATTCGTCTGATGGCATTTTTTGCTCTTTTACTTCCATGTTATTATTTTTTGTGTTTATTTTGTTTTCTTCCCCCACTTTTCCTGTACCTTCATCCGTTTCTTCACATTCTTTATTATCTTCCATTTCATGTTCTTCTTTACTGAATTCTTGCATTTCTTTCTTGGCTGATTTTTTTCTTTTTAAATGTTGGAGGATTTTTGGCTGCAGTGGAGGCCGATTATTTTCTAACCTAGAAAGGCTTTTAAAGTCGAATTTTAAACATTGATTGAGCTAACTATTTGTTAAAAATTAAAAAAGAATGATATTGTAGTTGTACCTTGATTTTATTTCCCTTAATTCTTCTAGTTTTTTCTCTTGATCTTTTATTTTTTTTCTTTGGGATTCTATAATTGCAGACGACAAATCTTTCTAAAAGAAAATTGAAAAACTAGTTAAAATGCCGAAGAAAAAGAAAGAAAGAACACGTTGTTATTACCTTCTTTTCTATCCGAGCCTCAGTGTTGAACTGGTTATGGATCAAACTATGTTTCTTAAGAAATATTTTGTATTTGTAGATAGAATCATCAAAACGATAAAATCATGATCATTTTCTTACCTTCTTGTTTTCAATATTGTTTTCTCTCCTAAAGGTCTGGAAGTGTCAGAAAATTGAAAGAAAAACAAATATTATATAATGGTTGGCCAGAACAGTTTAACATTTGTACAAAATAGAAGTAAGTAACAATTATAACAAACTGACCGAATTTTTATTTTTGCCATATTTGATCCGTTTTTTAGTAGTATCGATTTTCTTTGCTTCCCTTTTCTGCTCTATCTGGAAAAATGATGTTAAAAAGTTGTGTATTTTCCACAATTTTTCTCCTCATTGCTTGCTGATTCTTTTTCCTATGTAAAGAATACAAATTTTCAAGACATAAATTGAAGAAGAAGAATATGAATAAAGTAACAATTTTTTTCTATCATGCACAATTTTTTCGTTGCAGATAACAGCTGTCTGATCGACGTTTTAAGTGCCATTCATTCACTGGTTAGATGATAATATGCATTTCTGATTTAAACGTCACTAAAGTTACTTTCATTTCTTTGTAAAATTTACATCAAACGTTAAAAAAGTTTTTTAAGCATTTAGCGGGGAAAATTTGTTAAATGTTAATTTTAGTAATTATAATCTCTCTGAATTCTGGGTTTCAATTATCAGCGGTTCTCGTTTATTTTTAAACTTTTTTTATGGAATTGAATCGTTGCCACAAGAAATTACATGAATTTTGTTGGATCAAATAATCTTGGAAAAATTGAAGGTTTACACCATCAGGTTAAAAGCTATATAGTGAGTATAAAACTCGATTCCTCCGGAAATAAATGTTCACCTCAGAGACGTCAAGCTTTCCAAGAAAGATTCAACTTTCAGTTTTGTCTCTTTCTTATCCATCTAAAATCAGTTTTCAATATCGCCATTTTTATTGTCATTTCCCACTCACACTATCTCAACCATTTTCTTCGTAACAACGAACTTACTATAAAAAGCATTGCGAAATTGTGAAAATTTTGTTCAAAATCAAGAATAAAATGTCATGGAAACAATATTTCTAACATTGACATTTTGTTTATAGTTTCAAACAAAATGTTTGTAAATACTAAATGCTTTCAGAAAGTTTTATCGTAATAAAATGTTAGGGGTTGCCTAGTAATTCAGTTGTTATCTAAAGTGGGTGTTTGCAAAAAATTATAGGGGTTTGAGACTTAGGTAAAAAAATTATCGATGGTGATCGCTACTAATCTTACAATTCTATCTGTTGCGTCTATAAGGGGAAATTTGTTAAAACAACTCATGCTAAAGAACGTAGCGTCCATGCAAATTCAGAAAGTTGTAACATTCTACTCGGATCATAAAAAAGTCAATTTGATTCCAAACAAATCATTCATCGATAATTTTTCGACACATTCGTATATAGATGATATTTCATAATATTCTTGATCACCATCGATAATTGTTCGACGTAAGCCTCAAACCCCTTTCATTTTTCGCGAACACTCCCTTTAAGTTAATTTTCTTCTTTGGTTGTTGTTACCATTTTAAGTTTTTAAGTCTGAAACATTTTTCCAATGTTGAAAAATTAGGATGTTAGTGAAAAAGACGACGTTAAGAAAGATCTAATTTGAATTACCTGAACTGCAATAAGCTTCTTCTTCCTATCTTGTATTCTAGAGAAGGTGAACCAAGCCAGAAATGCTTTACTAAGTATATATCTATCCCTGAAATACTTTACTTAGTATATATCTATCCCTGAAATACTTTACTAAGTATATATCTATCCCTGAAATACTTTACTAAGTATATATCTATCCCTGAAATACTTTACTAAGTATATATATATCCCTGAAATACTTTATAAGTATATATCTATCCCTGAAATACTTTACTAGGTATATATCTATCTCTGAAATATACAAATGTTTTTAATCCTGAACGTTTTTATTCCTTAAAAGCTTCCAATTTCACAAAAATTTATCAAACATTGAATAAGATATAATCAAAAATTTATCAAACATTGAATAAGATATAACCAAAAATGTAGGCCTATTATTTGCATTTACATTTACTGCAGATTTTTACTTTTTGATGAATTTTCGTAAAATTTTGGAAAAAAAGAAAGTAAACATTTTCCCAACAATTTTTTTTCAAAAATTTTAATCTAAAAATTGGGTTCTTGGATTTTTTTTCAATGTTTCAAAAATATTATTGAAATTTTTTTATCACGTTCAATTTTATTTATCCCTATCCGAACAAATTATTGATTTTGAAAATTTTGTCCATAACATCGCTAAACCCTTTTTATTTTTACTCACCCCGTGGCCGTATATAATAGTATAGTTTCCGTTATTTAGAATCTAGTATTTTCTGTAGTTTGAAGCTCATGTGATCATTTAGATCTTTATCATTTAATAATAATAATTATTATTATAATTATAATATTAAAAACCTGTATTTCGTTGCTAAAATTCTTTTCATGTGTGCATTACATTCTTCTTCGTTCAATTCTGTTTCAATTTTCTCCATTTTTAATCTTTCCACTGATTTTCTCCATCCATACAGGGCTCTGAGCGTATTGATAATTTAGAAGGACTGTAAGCATTGGTGTTAGGTACTTTCCCAAAGGCATTTTCCCAAGTGACAATTTCCCAAGTGGCAACTTCCTAAATGTACATTTTCCCAAGCGGCAACTTCCCAAATGTACATTTTCCCAAATGACAATTTTCTAAGTGGCAACTTCCCCATGAAGGAAAAACGGCATTTTCCCCATGAAGGAAGTATTAAATGAACATTTAAGGTTTACATTTTTAAAAACTTTCTCAGCCTTTTTTTGAAAATACGCAACTTGAAAAATTTTTTTTATTCAGTTTCTCTCAGTTAGTAAGGTTAGTAAGGGAAGAACATGTTGTTGGCCTACATCCTTTCTTCGAAGAATAAAAATGTATTAAACGATCCCTATTATGATTTACGGTTAGGTTAAGCCTTCTGAGGCTAAGATACGCTAGGGAGCCGATCGCTGCAGCTAATACAAGATAGGTTAGGCGTCTGAGGCGCCGCAGGCTACAATAGGGGCCGAGCGCTGCGCATAGAATGGACAAGTGGGCTCAGCGCTGCGACTAGGATGGGCTAGGGGGCCGAGCGCTGCGGCTATTCCTTATTTTAAAGAAAATATAGTAAATTATTTAAGGAAATTGTTACTTGGAAAAATGCACATTTGGGAAGTTGCCGCTTTTTCTTCATGGGGAAGTTGCCACTTGGGAAGTTGTCATTTGGGAAAATATACCTTTGGGAAGTTGCCGCTTTGGAAATTGCACATATGGGAAGTTGCCACTTGGGAAAATACTATTGGGAAGTTGATGCTTGGGAAAAGTCCTTTGGGAAAGTACCTAACATCTAAACATGACACTTATTTAGATAAAAATGACACTCCTTAAATGGAGGGTCACTTATAACTACGTCAACAGTATCTTTAAGCAATTGTAGTACCCCCCCCCCCTCTCAATTGCCACAAAAGTTATAGAAACAGTGATCAATGTGAAAATTACCTGAATTTTGTATTCATCTCGAAAAACTTTTCTGCTTTAACTTCCTTCTTCTGAAAGAACGTTACATAATAGAGAGTTGAGTCGATCATTAAAGGAACTTTAAGCGTAATTTCAAGTAACCCTCCATTCAAAAAGGTATTGTAGTTTTTAGATTCAAAGGTATTGTAGTTTTTAGATTCAAAGGTATTGTAATTTTTAGATAGATTCAAAGGTATTGTAGTTTTTAGATTCAAAAGGTATTGTAATTTTCAGATTCAAAGGTATTGTAGTTTTTAGATTCAAAGGTATTGTAGTTTTTAGATTCAAAGGTATTGTAGTTTTTAGATTCAAGGTATTGTAGTTTTTAGATTCAAAGGTATTGTAGTTTTTAGATTCAAAGGTATTGTAGTTTTTAGATTCAAAGGTATTGTAATTTTTAGATTCAAAACGTTTTAACTCTGATTCCTATATGTTTTCCTGCAGTTGGAATTCAGTGGAGAAACCACAAAATAATTGGTTTTCTAAACATTAATATCTAATTGATACTTGATCAGACAAAGCTTGAAAAGATACAATTGTGAATCGGGCATTGAAATCTTTGCATGAAGGGTTACTTCAAATTACGCTTGCAGTCCCTTTAAAAAGAAGCCACCTAATTAAAATAAACAAACATCCAAACGTCTCTCCCTTTAATATCTTTTGATCATCATCCCAACATTTTTTTTCAGTCGGTAGATATTTACATATATTATAAGAATATTGTTCATGAAAGAAAAACATAAGTCTGTACCTTATTTAAAAGACGAATATTATTCCATCTGTAGAAATATTTAGAGGCCATCTTTATTCTCTCCTCTTCATTAGAACTGTCTGTCCCTGATGCTAAACACTGAATAAATATCGGAGGTTTTCATTTGAATTTTTGGGAAACTTTTGCTCATTTATTTTAATGCAAAAAGGGTTGTCTTTTAAAATAATTTTTTTGTACATATTTTACTTTTAAAATAGAAAATTTTTGTGTATGGAGCAATAAAATCAGAATGCATTTGAAAGTCATTAAAAAAAGTATTGTTTTATCATATTATAAAGTTGAAAAAGATTTGTTTCTTTAATTTCGTTCATATCTTTATTCTTTGCCTGAGAGAGGAGAGAGAGAGAGAAAACATGAACCGGGTAATTCTTTATATTCTATTTTCTGCAAAATTTTATCTGGACCGGGTGATATCGTTTCAGGATTGGGTGATCTCTTGTTTGGACCGGGTGATTTTTCATCCGGGGAAAAGGTTGATTCTAGATCCATAAAGGGTGATCGTAAACTTTGATGTGACGTCTTTAAATCAATATATGATTCAGAATCAGTTGACGAAATTTCGCTTGAATTTATCGATTCAAATGAAACATTGGTCGACATTGTTTTAAAATTATTTGTTGAATGTGTTGATGGTCGTTTGCTTTCGTTGACTATCCCAGGGCATAGTAGTTTGGTGTGGTTGGTTAGTTGGTTTGGAAGCAGTTTGTTAGAGTTTGATGATTGGTTAGAAAGTAGGTTGGAAGTGCTTTTTGAATGTGATGCTTTGTCTGGGATATTTAACATCTTTAGATTTCTTAATTCCTCTAGACAAATCACATATTTCGTATTATATTGTTTTTACTTTGAGTATGACTATGCGTTAAGCATAAGAATGAAAGGTATATAACCTTATTTTTCTCAAATAAACTAAGAAAAACGATTAATCATAAAAAGTTCAGATCTATATAAACCCTGCAGCAAAAAAGCTACAATCAGAGGTTACTGTGATGGAAGGCCTTTACAACTGTTGCAATTTTCTAATATAATGACATAGAAGATTACTTAGGTTTTATTCGACCTTAAATCCAAGCTTAGATATAAATATTTACGGCCCTTTGCCAGGGGCGTAGTCAGAAATTTGTTCAGGGGGGGAGAACCTAAGTTTTACTTTCTTTTCAGGGGTGGGGGGCTCAGTAACCNCCTGACTACGCATCTGCCCTGCGCGTACATGTAACCTGACTTTTTACTTTCTAAGGACAGTATGCATTGCTTCAATTGAACTTAACAATGGTTCCCTTTAAACTTTGATTGATTCCTTGTTAAACACTTTGTTTGCAAGCTGTTTTGTATTGATATTTACTTTCTTGGAAAAATATAAATATTCAAAATTAAAATTTTTGAAAACCGCATTGAGTTCACGCAATACGCTAGCGTACACTTCAACTTTACGGCTTTCTACAGATCATTTAAGAGACAACTGAGTTATCTGTCCTCGATGATCAGTAAAAGGTTGAAAGGTTACCATCGTAAGAATATATCCCTCTTTAAATCGAAAGTCATTTAAAATTACGCTTGTCACTTTCTGTCCCTTTCCATACTTTAAGTCTATTGAGGATTTTCGTTTTTTTAAAAAGGAAATTGCATTTAAATACTAAGGAATTGAGTCTTTGACACAAACTCTGATTTTCTAATCCCTATATCTTTACACCCCAATATCGTAATCCTTAGTCTTTTCAAACTATGAATTCTTTTAAATATAATAATCAAAGTTTGAAATATCAAAGGTTTACATCATCAGCTTTCGAAGATAAAGGGCTTACAAATTTGAGTTTGTGGTAAAGAGTAAAATCTTTTGGTGTTTTCCTACAATATCCTGAACATTTTTTTCTGATAAGTCAAAAAATTTATATATCAGATCAATTAAAAAAATAGACTTTTAAAAAGTAAGCAACAAATACAATGTTTATTCTAGGTAGGCAAAAATAACAGCAACACTTGTGTTGATTACCATTAGACTGTTGAAATATGTATTCCTATGGCATTGTTGAATTTTCTCTCCATATTCCAGGTTTTTAAATCAAAATCAATATCCATAGTCTCCAGACTTACATCCTGTACATTTCATACATTTTATAAATATATATACAGTTTTACTCATATCTGTATTGTATATCATGTACAATAAAAACAGTGGTCAGACTATTGTCTAATAATGTATCTGCAATCAATTTCTATTGATTTCGTTCAGGGTGTCCCAATAAACATAGGAATTCAGTGACGAATTCGATATCGTCTTTTTAAATAGTTCTTTGATTTAGTTTATTGATACCTACTGAAAAAGCTGTAATCTGTAAGAGTTTCGTCTGCTATGTTCACATTTTGTTTGTTTATGTTTTGACTGCATAAAACAAGAAAATTGCAGTATACAAACAGAATAAACTTGTCCGTCTTCATTGTTCATCTTGCGGAGACATTATAGACACATCTTTACAGTCTTTAATCCTTTTCATAGAATAAACTCTAGCAGACATAATAATATTATGGCTTTTGAAATTAGGTATTATACAATGCTAATTCATAACAAAGACGATATCCGATTCGTCACTGAATTCCCATGTTTTTTGGGACACCCTGTAGATAACTTTGTGTTAGATTAATAAATAAAAAAAATAAAATATGTGAAGTTCTGGATCAACATAACATTATGTAAGTCAACTGTTAGTAAATATTTGTTCTATGAATCTGTAGATTATATATAATGTAATTTTACAACTTACGTGAAGATAAAGTTTCTCCTCAGCTCCATTAGCCATTTTGTTTTTGAATTCTAAATAAATGTTTTTTTTTTCTTTTTATTTTTAATCTTCACCATGTGGTATCAAGTAGATAGTAATAGATAAAACATGTCTTCATTAAATAGCCTGAGGTGCATAACAAAATTGTATGAAAATGCACGAATTAAAAAAAACATAAATTTCTGAAACTTATGTAATGGAGTCATTATTGATCGAATAAAACGCTGAGACAATAAAGTTTTAATTAATGTTGTCTAGATTTTGCTGTCATTTTTTTGTTTGTTTATTTTATTTATTTTAATGCGACGTATAACTGTGTTCAAACATTAAATGAAGTCCTTGTTTGTTTAGCTATATTCTTCTAAAATCTCAAATCCAAAATGAAAAAATAGCGAGTCGTTCATCCTTGAAGACACACACTTCAGTTAGACCAATTTTAAAAGATAACACCATCAATTATATTTCAAAATTAGGCAAAATAATTTTTCTTTCTTAAAAATGAATAAAAGAAATATTTTTTAAATTGTATAATCAAGAATTTACAGCTTATAATAATTCTAGAAAATAGATTTTTATAGCTCATAGTCAAAAACAAACAAAATACTTAACAGACACCCTTGACATTCTATAAGTGTAAAAAATCAAATCAAACCTTTTATTTACTGTAACAACTACAGCTTAGGGAAATGAAATTTTAAAAATCATATCTTTATATAAATATTATATATATTCTTTCTAAAACCATGCAAGTACATTTTTAATAACGCACATGAAAATATTCATGTAACATATATCCCCGAGTATTATATCAGGGAAACCTGATACCTTATCTATATTCTATTTAATAACTATTATCATTTTATGCACACTTCGTAACCAAAGAAAAGATTAACTTTATCGTTCATGAACCTCGTAAATATATATATATATGTCCTAGTTGGGTGCCCGTCACGCCGGTCACCCTATTTGACCTGTAACCTTATGTTTCAATAAATAGTTAGTTAAGTGTGAAACCTCTCGTTGAAGAGCCCTGATTTAAACCCTAGGTAGAGAAGACAGAAATACAGTGCGGTTTCTGTAGTTAATCTTGACTCGAGAAGACTGGCATTTTGTGAAATTCAATAATTCCTCGATTAAATAAAACTGGGAACACATAAATGAGCAAAAAGCTTCATTATATACAGAGCGTCCCATATTATATTAAATTATCTCAAAACTTTAACACCAAAATAAACAAATAATACTCGAAAAACCTAGCATTTTCTGCAAGAAAATTTTTATATTACCTTTATTTAATTTTTCAAAATGGTTCATTCTTCTTAAATTTTCTAATTAGTCCCATTAACGATCTGATATGATGTGATTTAAAGCATATTCAGAACCAATATTCTTCAGATTAGAACTTCTAAATCTTGATGATACATATAAACTAGGTGTTCTATCTTTCATGCATAAATACTTTTATAAAAACCTTCCAACTTCCTTCCAGGATATGTTTAATTCTTTAGCTGAACCAAATAGAACAAAATCATATAAACTTGAGCGGGTTCTTTTTAAAACACTATAATACTTTCCTTCCGCTTTATTTCCAAAATTATGGAATTCGATTGAATTAGAGCTTAAAGAAACTAAATCTGCAAAACTGTTTAAAAGAAAATCTTAAAAACCTATTTAGATAATTATGCAAGTTATATCTGTAAAAAAAACTGTTTTTCATGTGGATAAACTTAGTCTTTGCTATCTTCTTCACCCTCCAGAAGCTCAGTTGGGGGCCCGTGGGCCCAGGACCCCTCTAATCCGCCCCTGAATACGCTATAGATAATTTTAACAACTTTTTAGGCCTATACAATACCTTTTTCTTATACAATTTAATTAATTTTGTCATACTTTTATGCAAGAATTAGATTAGATAAACAAAATGTAAAATCAGAAGCTTAGTATAAATACAAGATAATGCTTCACACAACATCAGTATCATTCGTTATGGCTTCAAGTTGGTTTCTTTTACTAGCTCTCTACTTTAGCTCTGTTTCAGCAGAAACCGAGGAAGCCCCTTACACAGTCTTGAAAGAGCATCAAGGCTGGGAGGAGAGAGAGTTCCCTTCCACCAAATGGATTTCAACTGACGTAATCTCAAACCAAGTTCATAATTCTCCTGAACAAGTTCAGGCGTTTTATAGGCTTTTTGACTACATTGACGGACAAAACTCTGAGGAAATGAAAATCCCCATGACCGCCCCTGTAAGTTTTAGAATATTACCAGGAGAGGGAACTGAATTCAATTTCACAATGTCTTTCTACATTCCATCAAATCTTCAAGAAACCCCTCCTAAGCCCTTAGACTCAACTGTATACATAGAAGAGCGACCAGCAATGAAGGTAGCAGCCAAGAGGTTTGGTGGAATATTCATAAGTGATCTGCAGTATGCAACAGAGGCTGCGGAGTTATATGAGTTGGCTCTAGCGGAGGGACTAGGGATTGCAGATATTCCACTTTGGACTGCTGGATATGATGGACCAAATGTAATCATTAATAGAAGAAATGAAGTTTGGTTGGAAATAAATTAAAAATACCATAAATTGTTTTTTTTATCATCTGTTTTCAATAGATTCCAGTATACTCAGAAGGCCGTAAAGTGTTATAGAAGCTGTTACACAAACTTTGATATAAGAGCCTTATCTCATACAGCGTGTCCCACGAAACATGACAGTATGCAGGACGACTTGAATGTCGTCTTGATTTTTGATATAATTTGCTGCGTTTATTTGTCAACCTAATTTTAGAAGTAAATTTCTAGAGAAAATAATCACAAAATTTCCCTTGTCCTGCCATTTCCAAAATGTGGTCTGCCTTTTTTGTGCTTTCAATATTGCCGGAGATATGAAGAATTTCGTTCAGATTTCGACAATTTTGCTTTTATTTAACAAAATTGAAATCTGAATCAAACTCTTTATATCTCCGTTAATATTGAAAGCACAAAAAACGCAGACCACTTTTTGGAAATGCCAGGGCTAGGAGAATTATGTGATAATTGTTTCAAGAATCATACATGTTAAAGTAGATAGAAGACTAAACGTCACAAATAAATTCAAATATCAAAGACGACTTTCAAATCGTCTTCCTATTGTCATGTTTCGTGGGACACCCTGTATTTCTAAACAAATAATGCGAATATTTTTATTTGCAATAATTTCATGTAAAGTAGGTTAAATAATCAAAAGGAAGGAAAAATTCACGCGTTGGATTTGAAATTTAGATGTAACGTTCAGAAAAAAGCCAACGCGTTTTTTTTAAAAATTTGTGTGTATTAAGATGCATTACACTGAAATAAACTTGGATTACTAAAATCTTCTAGATACATTGTTTACGATCTTGTTAAAAATTCTGTTATTATGATATCTACCACAGTTAAAATATTTATGCTCTAAAATGAAAAGAGTTTATTAGATTATTGGTGAGGAATAGGATACTTTGATTATTTATGTAAGAACATGTTTTTGGAGTTTATCTATGGTGCTTATGTCTATGTATGTATTATGTATATCACTTGGTAAGTTATGGGTAGTGTGTCTTGAGTCCACGATTATTCAAGACTAATCTTCGGAAAACGACATTTAACAATTGCTTTCTCCAGCTTTGATTCGTTGAATATCCAAAACGCATTGCTGTAGAAAATCCGCAACAATTTTCTTCTCTTCTTCACTAAACTCAGCTTCCCCCCTGTCAAGGTTTACTTAAAAACAAAAACAATTTATTATAAAAAAAATGTCTAAATCATTCTAAATAGATTTGGCATAAAATGCAAAAAATTATTTACCTTTCTTACTTCTTCCTTGGTGATTGTTGTTAATTTGAAGATCGGGTAGGAATAATTTATTACTGGGATGGTTTTGCGAAAAGGTATGTGTCTTGTTTGTTTTGGATACAGATGTAGCCATATTGTTAGGTTTGGCTAAAGAAACAACAATGCTGTTTGGTTTGGATAAAAAAGTTTGGGTTGGTTTGATGAAAGAAGCAGCCATATTGTTTGGTTTGGGTTGAGAAGTTATGTTTGGCTTATTTAAAGAAGAAGCAATGATGTTTGGTTTGGTTATTGAAGCAGTCAAGTTGTTTTGTTGCCTAGACATCAGAGTAGCAATTTTGTTTGAAACACTATTGTTTGACTGTTTGAATGCTGAAACAGTAATCTTGTTTGGCCGTTTGGGTTGAGCTAAGTTTGCAAAGCAGGGACTTTTCTCGGACTAGAAAATATGTATAATGTAAGACATTATTGTATCAATGTAACGGTATCAAGCTGAATGAAAGCCTTTTTCAAAGGAATTGAGTCTTTGTCACAAACTCTGATTTTCTAATCACTATATCTTTGGAACCAAATGTTGTAGACCTTAGATATTTCAAACTATGAATTCTGTTAAATCAAATAATCAGAGTTTGAAATGTCTAAGGTTTACAACATCGGGTTCTAAAGATATTGGGGTTTAAATATTTGATTTTGTTACAAAGACTCAATTCAAATATAAGTTTAGCGAAACATTTGAATTTTGAAACGATTAACTATTGATATTTTAATAAAAATTTCCGACGTTTTGGATTTAAAAACTCAATGAATTTCGCGTTATACTCATTATAACTGTCAGTTTTTAAGTAATAAAATAAATTATTTTGATACCGTTTTTATTGGCTTTTTCTTTGTGTTGTCCACTTCCTGATCAGCGGCATTTTCTTTTGTAAAAGTGTTTTTATCGAACAGCTTATTCATCACTACTTTTTTACTTTGTGTTTTCTTAGAAACTAGTTTGTTAACCTAAACAATAAAAATTAGTTTGATGAGAAAAATAGCTTAGCTGAAAAACTTTTTAAAATAATTTTAGTAAGAAAAATGTTATTGTTTTAATATGAAAAGAACCTGATCGATTGTTGATATGAAATCATCTATTTGTTCCAAAGTGCTAGAATTCATTGCTGTTGGAATAGATGCAGCTGATGCAATGGTGGATTGAGAATCAGACGTTTTCTCAACTAAAACTTTGGGCACCATTTTGCCGAAGTATAAATCCTAAAATATCTTGAGTAGAATTTATAAAATTATCCCTAAAAGAATCAATTTTCAATTTAATAAATAACTCTATTACAGTTTTTTTATTTGTCATACTTTGAAATGATTTCAACTTATTTAAAAGTTTAAACCAGTTTGTCAAACGATAATAACGATATTACAAAACGTAGAATAGAGTAAGCTGGCCTTACTGTGTACAATTACGATAACTATAACCTGATAAATCCCGACATCTTTGAAATCAAAGTTTTCATAGTCGTCATCATCATCATCATCATCATCATCATCATCACCATCACCACCATTAATCTGTATTGGTGTAGGCTTTGCTCTCTTTTTTCTAGAAAATAATGATAGTTGGTTTTATGTACATTTTATAAAAATGCTTTTAATTTTTTAATCACTCATTCTTATAAACTACAGATGTCCCAGATAAAATGACAATTGAGGGACAGTTTAGAGATTGTGTTTGAATTGTGCCTGTTGTTCAATGACTTTTATTATAAAAAGAAACATGTTGCATGGTTTATGCATATTGTTTGTTATTTAAAATCTGACTTTTGAAAGCACAGATGCAGACCACATTTTGGAAATCAAAGATAAGTATGATATTTTTAGATAAGAACGAAGACGATTTTAAATTGAAGTTTAGCAATTTTCATGTTAATTGGGACATCCTAAATATACTTGTAGGATTGGTTATTCTTCCACACTTCTTCATTCTCATACGGCAGGTCAGCTGTTTCAATATTCTCATAATCAGGAACTACTGCTGTTCCCGTGATCCTCATTCCATTTCGCACCATTTTTACGCTCTTCGGGGAAACTTTTGGAACATTTTCATAGTTCCTGGGGAACAGTTCCATTGAATAGATTTCATTACTGCAGATTATAATTGATTAAATAATTTTCTAACAATTAATTTCATGATTACTCTATTAACTCTATACCTATTCCTTGTTGGGCTTTTTTGAGGGGGGGGGGGGAATTTAAACCAAAGATGTCAAAAGTTCAAGTTCTCGAAAGCCCATATTTTCGAACATTTAACACGTCACTGACTTAAAAAATGCTGGGATTTCAAATAAAAAGTTTCTATTAATTCTTTTTAAATTCATCAATTTATCTATATGTATATATAAAATATAATTTATAATATAAAAATCCATGTTTGTTTGTCTGTTAAGATTTTTTTTCTTAATGCACAAGACAATGAACGTGTTGTGTTCTTATGTTTTGCAGTTTAGTGTTCATGAAAAATCTACATTTCTGTTTATATTACTAGAATTTCAAAACCAATGTGGTTCAATACATATTCTATTATATATATGTACTTTAAAAATATCTACCTGATATGTCATAAATTTATTAATTTATTATTAAAGCAATTAGTAACTCAATCACTCATTTTTTACATTGATTGAGTTATTAATTTATTTTGTTTACTCAATAATGCATAAATCCCTAATTCAAAAATTCAAAAATTCATAAATACACTAATTCAAAAATTCACAAGTTCATAAATTCACTATTTCATTAATTTACTATTTTTTAATTTATTATTATATGAATTCGCGAATTTATATATGATCAGTAATAAATCAATTTAGGATTTTATCAATTGATTAAAATATAAGTTCATTAATTAATCAGTTTATCAATTGATTAGTTCATTAGTTCGTTTAATTACTAATTATTTGATTTCATGACATTTTTATTTTAATAAATCATCAATTCATCCAGTCAATATTTATTCCATTCATTTATTAGTTATCCAATAAATTAATAAATTTTCAATTATAAACCCAATTAAATCTGCCTGAATCCGGTAAATTCTGCTTCTTCTGAAATTGGCTCACTAAGAATTCGCCTGCTTCGCCTTCTAAAAGTATAAAAGTGATTGTAGATACTATTTAAAGTGAGCTTCAAGGAATGTAAGTGTAAAGAGGACAATGCCCGGTTCACTGTTCACCGAGTAGAGAGATCGTTCTGTTTAAACATATTGAAATCCACTTGAGCTCCTCCAAAACGCAACTGTACACTTTGTACAGCTGATCTGCTAGGTGAACAACTTAAAAGTAGATCAACAGCGTTTTCACCCATTCAAAAGTAAACTTTTATCCTCTGCCACTTTTAGAAAGTAGCTATTGATATTTATTATTTCCAATGCTGCTCTGTCAAGTTTCATATTAAAACTTGTCGTGGATAAAAGTCTATTTATTATTGCTTTATCTTAAAACACAGTTTATTTTTGCGAAAGAGAATGCAAGGAATACGTTTTAACTTACAGCTTTAAAAAATTCTAGAATGGAGATTTTGGTCCCTAATCCAAAAAAAAACTAGAAATGCTTATTTGACACCCCTGACATATTTGTTCATTTATAACTAAAATGAAAAGTTATATATTCCGAAGTCAAACCTTATAGAAATCCAACGTATGGAAACAGCTACGTTTATCAACAAGGTGTATTTTCCGGAAGAACATTTTTTATATTTTTTAGAAATTAAACGTTTTTGTAAAACATTGTAGCTTATCATTATCATTATCATAATTTCTATTTTTTTTAACATACCCTAGACATTAAAGGAGCAAAATAGTTTAATACGTACATTTGTACTGCTCTCTATTGTGTTTAAGGTCCCCAAGATTATATTATGTACTGACAACATAAATGAATGATTATATGGTTATACATAAAATTGCGTGTTACTATTAAAAAAGATATTTTATAAAAATGCTATCTACAGTTTTATTTTTAGAAAAAAAAATTCTTAAAAGTATAAAAAAAGTTCTCCAGTCATGCTAATATGATTTCATAAAATTCCGTTTTACCATTTAAATATATGAATTTTATGAAAATTATATCTACTTTACACTCATTATTTAATTTCTCAAAAATATAAAACATGTTCTCCCGGAAAATACGCCTTGTTGCTAGGGATGTTAACGTTTTCATTTTTCAGAAAAACGATCGTTTCGTTATGATAACGACGACGAAAAATCGAAAACGAAACGATCGTTTTTAAAAACGATCGTTTTTTAAAAAGTTCGTTTTTTTTAAAAATGGTCGTTTTTAAAACGATCGTTTTGTTAACGATCGTTAACCACGGACCTTCGTTAACGATCGTTAACCACGTAACGATCGTTAACGACGACCCTTCGTTAACTATTTTTAACAACGGACCTTCGTTAACGATCGTTAACGACGACCCTTCGTTAACGATCGTTAACGACGACCCCTTCGTTAACGATCGTTAACGAAGAGAGGAAACCGACCTGAAGGGCATCTGTACTTACTTAACTCCCCCACAACTTTTAAACTTCATGTAAGACGACATTCAATAAAGTTGCATGTAATTTTTTTCCAAAAACAACCGTTTTGATAAAGTTCGTCGTTTCGTTAACGATCGTTAACGACAACCCTTCGTTAACGATCGTTAACATAATTGTCAATAAAAAAAACTTTCAAAAACGATCGTTTTTTAAAAAACAATCGTATAAAAAACGATCGCAAATCGTTTTAATAAAAACGATCGTTTTCAAAAACGATCGCTATTCGTTTTCTAAAAGTTCAAAACGAGTGGGTCGTTTTTAAAAACGATCGTTTTTTTCTGAAAACGAAACGATCGTTTTTGAAAACGAAACAAAAAACGATCGTTTAACGATCGTTTAACGATCGTCTACAAAAACGATTAACAACCCTACTTGTTGCTATATGTAGCGGTTTCTATAAGGTTTGACGCCATATATTCCCTTTAATATTCAGCCATTTAATATTTGGTTTAATATTCATCCTTTATAATATTCCCTTTAATATTCATCAAATATATTCCCTTTAATATTCAGCCAATTATTATATTCCCTTCACAACTAAAGCCGAGGTAAGATTACAAAAATGTAGATACGAGCCAAAGAAAATGCATCAAATTTCATGTTTCTTATTAAATAGGAAAATTGAAAAACGTAATAAACCTGATTTGTTTGAGTTCTTGAATAAACATTGTTCGTTCTAAACTTTCAAATTCATCCAATCCTATAAATAGAAATTTTAAAAAAATTCTAAATACAAATACTATAAGAACAGTTCTTGATTTTAAAGAAAAAAGAGGTTCAAAGAATGGTGTTCATATTTTATGGTAAAACAAATGCAATTTGTTTTCTTTAGAACTTTAGATGGAATTTCTTCCTAATTTAAAAGCAAATTCCAATAGTAATCTTATTTTTTTGTCAAAATTTTGGGACAAAAAGACTCAGCAAACTTTTTATACGGGAACATAATTACTCGTCTCTTATTTTAAACTAAAAGATAATATAGTTATTTGATATTTAACTCCATGCATCTAGGCAGATCAAAGCTATAATTTATAGCTGTGAAAGTTTTCGATTTAAAAATAGAGCTTTAGTCGAGTTGTTCTTAGTTCTTTTAATAAGTTAATCAATTAAGATTGAAAAAATGAAGATTTAACGCCTTTGTACATGACTCTGAAAATTAATCTTAAAAAAGACGGGACATAAGGGACTGTAAGCTTAACTTCGAAGTGTCCCTCAATAAAAAGATGGCAATGAACAATTCACATACATTTCAAAACGGTACCCTCAAACACTTTTTCTGATCAAATATGAGTTATATGTTTCTATATAGTTTTCATATTGGATCGGACATTGCCATCTTTGCATGGAGGGTACATAAAATCAAGCTTACAGTTCCTTTAATATTAATCAATTATTACCTTTTTTGATGGTTAGCGGAGATTCTTGTGAAGACTGCGTAGAAGATGTTGATGGAATTATTTTAGAAACTACCCTGAGAAAATATAATCGAATTTTATTCTAGAAAATAAATCTTTTTTGCTCATATATAATTCTATATCCGCACATGGTATAAAATCACGATTTAGTACTATGTGCAGGTAGTGGGCAAAGCCGGGCCCTCCAGCAAGTAATTTGTATAAAAAGAGACCACCGATCCATTTTCAGGCTATACTGATAAAACTATTTACTTTTAAAGGGACTGTAAAGGAAAATGTAAGGGGGTATAGTCTGAAACCTGAGAATCTCATGAACTGAATAAGACCTATAAGAATTCTATATAATGTTCTTGTCTCGAGAAATCATACCAACACGTTTATTTGTAAGGTTTTGTATAAGTTTCGTAATATTAAACAGATTATATTGAACAAATACGCAACCAATCTGAAAACGAAGATATCCCAGAGGAGTCTGAGAAACTTAGGTGTGCTACTATTATTATTTGAATTCAATAATTCTTTGATTTTAATAGATATAATTGATAATATTATTTATACGTTCGGACTATGTCACCAGCACTCCAACCAATGGCAGTGCAGTATTATTGTGACGTGCCTCCGTCTGTATCACGTGACTATTATACTGCACTGCCATTGGAGGGAGTTCTGGTTATTTGATACGGACATATATACGTTTTGGTATAATTTTGACACAGTTTAATGTCAATTTCTCGAGACAGGAACATCAGATAGATGTCTTATAGGTATCGTTTAATTCCTGAGATTCTCAGATTTAAGCCTAAACCTTCTTTCATTTTTCCTTTACAGTCCCTTTAATTACATCAAATACACATCAAATTACTTTTTAAATTTAGTCTTCCTATTCCACAGTATTTTTGGGTTTCATTGTAGAAATAATCAGAGGCGTTCCCAGATGGGAATATGAGTTGTCAGCCCCCCCCCCTCTCCGCTAAACCCCACTATTTCTTCAGTCAGTGTACTGCAAATTATTGCAGAACACACCGAAAAACTACCTGACTACTGATAACTACCTCACTACTGATAACTACCTCACTACTAATAACTACCTGACTACTGATAAATACCTGACTACTGATAACTACCTGACTACTGATAAATACCTGACCACTGATAACTACCTAACTACTGATAACTACCTGACTACTGATAACTACCTAACTACTGATAACTACCTGACTACTGATAACTACCTGACTACTGATAACTACCTGACTACTGATAATTACCTGACTTTTTCAATCTTGTTGCTTGAATTATCTACAATGTCAATATCTGATGAATTATTGTCTGTTGAGCAATGATCAGGAAATATCAGTGACACTGGCCTAAAATATAAAGGTTCTAATTCTATTATAGGTCTGTCCCGGTAAATGACCATGTGCGTCAAGATTGCAATGCCCGTTTCACAAAGGTACCCTATGTCTCATCAAAAATACAGAAGATATTGTCGTTTTTATGATTAGAAATGCACAAGTCACTTTCCTGGAGAAACGACAATAGAAAATAATCCGTTTTCAAAATGATAAACATTGATATCAAATTATGACTAATTCATACTTGATCATGCATTGCTTCACTCGAAATTACACGAATTGTCTTTTAAATCGTACTAATTTTATGAAATTAATGAACCAAGAAAGTACATCATTTTTTTTTACACATTTTGACTTTTGAAATCATCTTTCCGAGACTGTATGGTTTCGATATAAGTATGATGTAGGCAAATTTTGATCTCTAATGAGTTGCTTCTTACATTTCAGGTATAGAAGAATATTTGTACTTCAATTTTCCTTTTCTGTTGTTTCATACTAAAATTCTTCAATTCTAAAAAGACCGTAAAAGTATTTTCAAGTGCACCTCAATTTAAATAGAGCCCATTTGCGATTCACAACGATACCCTTAAACAGTTTTGTCTGTACACAAATGATGAAGATATTCTATTTGTCTAGTTGTCCTATTTTTCAAAGTGTTTTTCTCGCATAGATGTCTTTTTGTCTAGTTTTTATGGTTGTTTGGTGTTCCAGCTGTCTAGTTTTCCATTCGTCTTCCTGTCTGTTTGTGTGGTTGAGTGGTTTTCAAGTTGTCTAGTTTTATTCCCAGTTGCTTAATTGTATAGTTTGTATAGTGTGTAGTTATGTAGTTTTAAAGTTGTCTAATTGTCTAGTTTTCTAGGTGTCAATTGTAAAATTGTCTTGTTGTCTAGTTGTTTACTTTTCTAGATTGTTAATTGTCTAGTTGTCTAATTTTCTAGCTGTCTAATTTTCTAGTTCTCTAATTGTCTAGTTGTCATATTGTCTAGTTTTATAATTGTCTAGTTGAATAATTGCCTAGTTGTCTTATTTCGTTGTTGTTTAGTTTTCTAATCGTCCAGTTTTCTAGTTATCTATTGGATACAGAACCCATTAAAATATTCTTACTATTCCTATTCCCACCATAACCTATTTATTTATAAACTAGTAAATTTCTAACGTACACTAAATGTTTCAACCAAATCTTTTTTTAAAGTAATATATGTTAAACATTTATCAAATTCAACTTAGTTAGAAACTATAAAATGGAAAACACGTGTTATTCTTATTTGTTTTAACACCTTTAACAAGTTTATTATACAAGGTATATGATATCATTGGAATTAAGTAACGACAATATAATCGCCTTCGATTTTTTTAATATATGATGAAGACAATATAAATCTTCGTGAATATATATCTTCACTTTTCAACGATGTTACGAAAATGTGAACTACTGGTTATTGTTAACAGATACATTTATTGATTTATCAATGTTAGGTTAACAAATTAACTAAACGTACTACTGGTTATTGTTAACAGATACATTTATTGATTTATCAATGTTAGGTTAACAAATTAACTAAACGTAGATTGAAGACTATTAAAAAGTCTTACACTGTCCCTATATTTATTTATTGGGATAAATATTGAAAATATAACGCCCTTTATTCAACACTTCTTATTTGTGAAACATCTTTAATCTATTAAACACTGTGTCTACCTGCTCTTATCTGGAGATAACTGTATTTCCCATCTATATTCTTCACCCTTCCTTCCAACAAGGCCTGAATATTTAACAAAAATGTTGATGTAATTAATCACAAAATTTACTTTTTTTAAAACTTCATTCAATGCCAATATCAAATAACAATATTAAAAGTTTTACTGAATGTCAATTTCTAGAAAATGGTTGGTTTTATGTAAAAATCATTGCTTTTCACACTTGAATAATTTTATAAAACATGACATTGAATTTAATCAAATTATATAAATATACACAATAACCCCAAGCGTAAATTAGCGTTAGTCAATTTTCAGCAATAAAAGCGTATTGGAAGAACGTGCTTCAAATGGTTTGTAATATTTGTATTTTTGTGGCTAATGTATGAGAACGAAACAGGGGGAATTCAGTCAAAAGAAAGGGGTAATGTATCTGCATATAAGAGAGGGGGGGGGGGGCACTGTGATTTAAAGGTTCACTTTCGCAAGCAAATATTGATGAGAGTTTTGCCAATTACTTTTTAAAGACAAAGGTAACAATAAATGCTTAAACGAGCTTAAATGTACATGTACAGGGCTACAGAAAAGCATAAGTGAGTTAGAGCGGTAAAATCTAAGCCCAAGGCTTGGTGAAACTTCAAAGTCGATCCTTTCTCTTCAAAATAAATGATACTTTATAAGCAGCATGAATCTATGTGCCGGCGATGGACTCGCTATCCGAAAATTAAAATGTCCAATTTACAACGGTGTCTTTTCAAACTCTATCTGCGTAACAATACTGAAAACACCGTCGTTTATCTACCTTAAATTAAATGTGGTGAATTCTAACAATATCATATTGCTACGTATAAGTCACTTTTATTGCGAGTCCACATTTGAAAATTTTCAATTGTTAGAAAAATAAGGATATCTCATTCGTCTTTGTCGGAGAAAGGTTTAAATGGTAATAATGTGAGTCGTGCATGCCATAATTTGAAATATTTGAAAACTAAAATGCCCCTGGACACACGTTTACCATAACCCCATCAGTAATTTGGCAGCTCTCAATCCTGAATACAGATATTACCGTTTAATGACATACTGCTTCTCCAGGGTTTACTAAACTTTGATCTCAGCTTCTTCCTGAAGTACTTTTATTATTATAATTATTATTATTATTATTATTATTATTATTATAATAATTATTGTTATTATCATTTTAA